ACAAGATGGAGATGCCCCGAGGGCACGGGCGTGAGTCCCGGGGGAGAGTTCGGGAGGCTGCATTTCGGGCGAGGGAGGGGGAGCAGACGGCAGGGTCCCAGGAGCGCCCCGAGGAGTTTGGGGAGAGTTGGGGGGGAAGAAGGCATCGCCGGGAGCTGTGTCATCCGGACGTGGTGGCGGCGTCCGCACGGGTTCCCTGCCCGGACCCGGGGGGTTCCCTGCCCGGACCCGGGTGTCGGGCTGTGCCGGGGAGCGGGGAGGCGCAGAGACCCGGAGACCACCGGCTTGACTTCCTGGGGCGGGTGGTGCTTGTTCATCTTTGCTTCAGTAAGCTTTATTTTGGTAAGGTTTTTGTTGCTGTGAAATTCCTTTTGGAAAGTTTGCAGATGATTTGGGAACTGACAGGTTGCTTTTATGCAGTAGTTACAGTATGTATAGATTCTAAGCAAGTCAATTGACGAAGTAGTGCTTACTAAATATTAAGAGCTTTATTGTTCCAAAACACCTCGTTCTTTCGTTTGTACTGTTCTTTCAAATAATTTGGTTACTCCCCTCTCTCCAACTTAAACACACACACACACACACACACACACACACACACACACCCTTTGTCATATTAATACTGAGACAAAGTACATGGCATATGAGAAAACATATTTGGAAAATGCAGGACATGTCCAGTAGTGTACGATTTACTTTTATTTTTAAGTTGGGCACAAAGAGGCATTATTAGTCTTCTAAGACTGTTATTTCTTCGGCATTTACTGGTGCCTCATAGGTTCTGAGTGAAGGTGTGGGGTGTTCTTACAAATACAGCGAAGTTCTTGTTCTTTTGGTGCTTACATTCTAGTGGGGGAAATGGTAATTAGATGAGAAAAATGTCAGGGGTAAGTATGCACTAAAATAGTATGATAGGAGAGACCTCCTCTGAGGTTACTTTTAGATTGGCAGTCAGGGAAGCACTGAGAATTTGACAAGTAGTGATATTACTGAATTACCCCAGCTTGGTAGAGCTGGGGTGGTATCTGAGATTGTCTGGTTCATGATTGTCATTTACAAATAGTTAAGTGACTTATGTTGGGCAACTTTGGTTCTAAAAATGAAGTCAATAGTCCAGTTCTTTTTAAGTGTATTTGACATTTATTATGTGCATAATAAGTATGTCTTTTACTTATAACACAAGGTCCTTTGATATATTTTAAGTATTTGGTTTGAAAAATATATATATTTACTGTTCTGGATTTTGACATTTCTTTGTAGCCCTTTATAAGTATAGTGGGGAGCATTTAATTTATTGCAGCAAATGCATAATATCAAGAAATACAAATTTCCTAGATTCCACGTTTCAGAAACATTCTGTGTAAAAGTATACCTCAGTGTGATGACAATTGCTTATTTTAGTGGGGTTTAATGTATAATAGATAGTGCTTCATATCTCTGTTTAGTGGTGATTCCACACATATTTATTGGTCACTTGGCCTGTGTCAGACACTGTGGGAGGCATTGGTGTTAGGTGGATCCTCCTATCCTTAAGGGGTTTGCATTCTAAGTATATACATTTAGTTACAATACATTATAACATTTCCTTTCTTTGAATGAGCTACCCATGAAATATGTAAATGATGGAGAAAATTTCATGGAGGACTTGATGCCTGAGCAAAGACCTTTAAACCCAAGATCCATTTGGCAGGTAGGTTCATAGAGTTGAAAGAACAGGTATTTATGAGCTAGATAAACCTGGTTTTGAATCCTGGCTCCACTACTAGCTATGTGGTATGGAGAATGCCACTCAGTCTCTTTGAACTTGAGTTTCCTCATCTATGACATGGTTTACCCTGTAGATTTTGGATGTAGATTAGGTTTCAATATTTGAGATAATGTGTCTGTAACATTTCATATAATGTCTGGTTCATGATAGATGCTCAGTAAATGAGAGGCATTGTTAACAAGGTGGAGAGGACATTTCTCAGGTAGGGAACAATATATGAAAGACATCAAAATGAGAATAACTTTATAAAAATCTCTCAGTTTTGATTTTTTAGCTATAACTCAAAACCTGACTCAAATTGGTTAAAAAATATAAAGGGGATTATTGTTTGGTTTTAAGTAAGACTTTATCCAATGGCTTAATGAGGTTGCCTAGATTTCCCTCGTCCAAAGATGGCTGCCTCCAGCTCCCAAAGCTGCATACTGTCCTTCCAGCTTGTCCATACATTCTGCAGTTCACTCCTGGTTAGCTTGAACCAGTGCCTTTATTGGACACCTGTTCTATGCTGACTTCATTGGAACCACGAGGATCCCCAAATAGAATTCCCAAGTCAGAAATCTGGTATTCTTGGGAATGGATGCTGGATCAAATGTCTACTGCAGAAATACTGAAGGGACTGTAAGCTCCTGAGGATTTTTTTTCTTTCAAAATCAATAATGCAGGAAAATAATTTAACGGTAACATAACTATTGAGTTTAATAATAAATAAATATTATTTAGATGACATGGCATAATTGAAAGAATGTGAATTTGGAAGTCAGATTTTTGACACCTCCGCAAGCTTTATGACTTAGGGCAAGTAATAGCCAGGCCATAATGTGTGCAGATTGTCCTGGAGCCATCCCCTCAGCCTCAGTTTCTTCATTTGTGATAAGAAGATGATAGAAGGTTGCTATTCATTGAACATATACTAAATGTGAGGGCAGGGCTTATGTAGTAGATATAAAACAGGGGTGGGCAAAAGACAGATACAGTTGTTTGTATGGGAAATCCTATAAAATAAAAGGCTAATATGCAGATTGACAACAGCAGAATGACTGGTTGCTATGAGGGCACTGACAACCACAGGGCAGATGCTCAAGCAGGAGCTGCCCCCTGGTGGTCAGTGTGCTCCCTTAGGGGGAGCACCGCTCAGCCAGAAGCTGGGCTCACAACTGGCGAACTCAGGGGTGGTGGCAGGAGCCTCCACAGCAGTCAGACATCACCCGAGGGCTCCCGGACTGCGAGAGGGCACAGACTGGACTGAGGGACCCCCCCCCCCGCCCCCCGCCAAGTGCATGAATTTCGTACACTGGGCCTCTAGTAATACAATTATCCTATCCAATAATAGACAAACATGGTAATTAACCATACCTCCGACACACTTCCCATTGGCTAATCAGGGCGATATGCAAATTAACTGCCAACCAAGATGGCGGCCGGCAGCCAGGCAGCTGAAGCGAACAGGAGGCTTGGTTGCCCCAGCGATGGAGGAAGCCAAGGTTCCCCGCCTGCCGTTGGCGGCCTCTGAGCTGCACTCTAAGAAACAATGTTGCAATTATAGAAGCTAAACAAACCCCAGAAACCTGCTTTCAGCCAGCCAGCCTCGGAGCTGGAGCTGCAACAGTGTTTCAATTATAGAAGCCAAACAAACCCAGATACCTGCTTTCAGCAGCTGAGGTCTCAGAGCTGGAGCCGAGCCTCAGAGCTAAAGCCGGCTCTCAGTTCCAGTGACAGCCATAGAAGGTAAATAAATCCCAGAATAAAAAAGAAAAAGAAAAAAAGGAGAGGTTGGGAGCTTCAGTCACCCGCCAGCCTGAAAACGGCCCTCAGCCCCTCACCGAGACTCGTCAGGCACCCCAGTGGGGACCCCCACCCTGAAGGGGGTGTGACCAGCTGAAAACAGCCATCATCCCCTCATCCAGGCTGGTGAGGCACCGAAGCGGGACCCCCACCCTGATCCGGGACACCATTCAGGGCAAACCAGCCGGCCCCCACCCGTGCACCAGGCCTCTATCCTATATAGTAAAAGGGTAATATGCAAACTGACCCTAACAGTAGAAAGACTGGGAATGACTGGTCACTATGACACACACTGACCACCAGGGGGCAGATGTTCAATGCAGGAACTGCCCTCTGGTGGTCAGGGCACTCTCACATGGGAGGAGCTCTGCTCAGCCACAAGCCAGGCTGATGGCTGCCAGTACAGCGGTGGTGGTGGGAGCCTCTCCTGCCTCCTCAGCAGCGCTAAGGATGTCGGACTGCAGTTTAGGCCTGCTCCCCGCTGGCAAGTGGACATCCCCCGAGGGCTGCCGGGCTGCCAGAGGGATGTCTGATTGCCATCTTAGGCCCAGTCCCCTGGGTAGCGGGCCTAAGCCAGCAGGTGGTCATCCCCCGAGGGGTCCCAGACTGCGAGAGGGCACAGGCTGGGCTGAGGGACCCCCCCCCCCCCAGTGCACAAATTTTTGTGCACCGGGCCTCTAGTTAGTAAATAATAATACAAGAATAAACTGTGGTTCATGTACTCACAAGTCTAAAACTGCTTTTGCCCACCCCTGTATTTTAAAGAAGGCATGCTAGCTGCCATTCAGAAACCTTGATGTGCCTAGAAAATGCCCATACACACTAAATGGTGTATACTATCAGAATTCTAAACTTTAATATAGTCACATCTTTTATCATTAATTTAATATCTTTGTTTAAGTAAATTAAATGCTAATATTACTAGACTCAGCTAATATTTTCTTTATTTTCAGAGGGCTGTCTTGTATTTGTGTATGATTTTCATTCAGAATACATAATTCATTTCAGATTGTGAAACTTGAAAATAGACTTCAGATTTAGATGTAGCTAAACTTTTCTTTATTGAGGCAGAATGGGGTGATGTAGCAGATTGATTTGTCACTGTCAGGTTCTATCAACAGAAATACTTCTATTACAACCGATAATAAAATGTTAAATACTTAATTTTAGACCAAATTGTTTGTTTTGTGTAGACAAGCATTATTATAACCAGTGAATAATATAAGAATTGTTCTATCTTTAAAAAATGATTTATAGCCCTGGCAGGTGTTGCTAAATGGTTAGAGTGTCAGCCTGTGAACTGGAGGGTCTCGAGTTCTATTCCCAGTCAAGGGCACTACCTGGGCTGTGGGTTCACTCCCTATCCCTCATCAGGAGCATGCAGAAGGCAACCAATTGATGTGTCTCTCTCACATCAGATGTTTCTCCCTCCCTCCCTCTCTCCCACTGTCTGTTAAAGAGAAAAATATCCTCGAGTGAG